GGTGCTATACCTTATCTCCAACTGAATGGACGACAGCAGGAGACCTTCTGGTCACTTAGGGGGATGTGGATAGAGCAGGGGAGGAGGTCAGCGTTCTCCGTGGCCTCACCCTCATGGGTGCAACCCCAGGTGACAGCTATCCCAGCCAATAGGACATGCCGGGCCAGGATGGGGGCACCGGGGCCGGGCTTTATTCCCATGCAGGTCTCTAACCCAGCTGCAGCTCAGCTGAGAGCTCGGGAATGGGGAAGGTTCCTACACCCTGAGGCCTCCACAGTGTAGCCTCTCACTATCCGCTTCAGAAGCTCTGCACACAGTCCTGCGGGGTCTAAGGAGCAACAGATTAGCCTTCCAGCCACCAGACCAGAAGTCGCGGTGCAGGTTGGGTCCTGCACACAGACCTCTGCAGCCTCCACCAGGGCAGATACTACCAGGCTCTCTGACGCAAACCTCTGCCACAGAATTATTTGTTGGCCGTAAAGCAAACTTCCCTTTTAAAAAATATATATTTTTAAAGGGACACTCATGTAAAAGAACACAGTGAAGCACCGAAGCCGGATCCTCCCCAGCCCTGTCACCATTTCCCGGAGACTTCTGGTCAGGAATCACAGCCCCGGCCCTGTCGAGGCACCTATGACTGTGTCTCCCATTCCTGAGTGGCTCTGAGGGTCAGGGGCCTCCACTGGGTCATGCCACCACCTCCGAGCACCTCTGGCCTAGCCCTGGGGCCGTCTGCATGGGCCCGCGGCTTGCACCCACGAGCACCTGAAAACCTCCACCTGCAGACACAAACCAGGACCCCCCTGAAGAGGCCGCTCCCTCCACGAGGCCTGCGGGTCCAAGGGCACAGAACCCCGCCAGGTCTTCCTGGCCCATGCACAGCTGTGACCGGTATTGGAGGCCAGTGCCAGCCCTCAGCACTGCACGTGGCCCCCGGAGCCTGGGCCTGAGCCTTGCGGTCTCCCTGTCACTGCGGTCCCTTGCAGGGGACAGAGGCCCCTAGAACTCAGTTCCACGTGCCCACAGGCCAGGCACAAACATGAGGACAGTGGGGCACCGAAACTCATGCCATCCCAGCTGCACAGCTGCCCTCCCGGCCCTGAACACGGCTCCCATTTGTATTGTAGGATAATCTGGGGACCAAACTGCAGCAAATAGCTTTCAGGGTGGTTTGGGTTTTTTAGGGTTTTTTTTTTTTTTGATATTTTCCCTCTGTGGGCTTTAGGAAGTTTTATAAAATATTTTCACCAAGGAATCTTGGTATTTCCTTTGTAGTTGTTTTGGCTTTGTTTTAGTTGCTTTCAAGCTTGCTCTTCTTCCATCCAAAACTTAAGCATTTTATTTATTTTTTAAATAGCTTCAAAAGATTGTTTTGCAGAGCCAAAGGCCAAAATCCAGGGCCTCCCACAAGCAAAGCCTGTGCTGGCCGGGAGAGCCCATTCCTAGCCCTCAGAGCTGAAGCCATGAGGATTCACGGAGAGGTCACAGCCAACTCTCCACAGCCACCCCTGCGTGTCTCTGCCTGGGTGGTGATGAGGGGCTGAGGGGCGGGTGGGGAGCGGGGATGGGACTCAGGTTCTGGGGACGTGCCCCATGGGAGCCCAGGCCTGAGGGCTGACTTTGCCTTGAAAAGATCAGTAGGACTTCTGGCTGCTCAGAGTCTGTGATCTGATTAGCTTTTCCCTTCCAAAGAGCTGGCCGATTCTCCCTGGGCTGGTTCAGATATTCTAAATCAGAATACTCTCAACCACGCCCACGGGGAAAGTGCAGAAGGAGGCCAAGGGCGAAGCAATAGAAAAATAAATTAGCTAGCGTCTGACCCAGCAGGCAGGCTTGAAAGGTCGTGGGAAAATTCAAAATAATGGTGGTGGGAGGCGTAATGGTGGCGGGATTGGTGTTGAAATATGAAATGTAATCAATAAATGTGAACAACCTTTTGAAAATAAAATTTGAAAAAGAGAGATGAGAAGCTGGAGGCACCCAGGCGGCAGGGGGGGGGCGGAGCCTCAGAAGCATGAGCTTAGCCGGGGGCGGGGCCTGTGAGGTGCACCTGCGGGGCGGGGTCTGGGGATGTCAGCGTGGCCCCGCCTCAAGGCTCCGCCCCCAGCATCGCCCCCCAGCATCGCCTGCAGCCCAGGTTCCCTGCAGGTCGCCTTTCCCAAGCCCTCACTTCTGCCTCCCCTTTCGCTCAAGTGCCATCTTCAGCCTCCGAGAAAAGCTAGTGAAATTCCAGGCAGAATCTGGGCATTACCTGGAGAGTTCCAAGATCCCGGATCGGGCTGCCCTTTCCAACCGCTGATGACTTCCAGAAGGGCCCTGGCCATCCAGCTGCCTGTTCCAGGGTCAAAAACCTATCCCCAAAAGACGGAGACTCTTCCGGTTACGGGTCTTTGGGGCGCGGGGGGCGGGGGGCAACTGGCAGGCAAGCCCCGCGTGCCGGGCATCGACTGCTTTCCGGCTTCCAGAGCTGCAGGGCCCTCAGCTCCCCCTCACTGCACTCTCAGTGCCTCCGCGGGGCCTGCCCTGGACAGCTGGTGCCTCACATCCTCCCAGGGCCCCTCCCAGTGTCCTGGGTCCAGAACCTGAAAGACCTGAGAGGAAGACCCCCATTCCACCCTAGCACCCACAGGTAGCCAGGTCAGGCCATGGTTACTCTGCCATGGGGTGCCCCCACAGGGGCCGTTTCAGTGATGCCTGCTCTCAGCAGCAGAGCTGGGAGGGGCAGCCTGGGGGGGCACCAGACACCACCCCAGGCCTGACTGCTACCAGCACTGCTGAGGCCAGGCTGCTCCCGAAATGCATGTTTCCCCTGAACGGAAAGGGGCAGGGTGGGGAGCAGCCTTCTTGGGACTGTCCGCGGTTGCCAGAAGGCTGACCAGACCCTTCCCCTCTGCCCTGGGCATGCAAAGGCAAGCGGGGTCAGGCTCACGCACACCGTGAGGTGCACCTGCGGGGCGGGGTCTCGGGATGTCAGCGTGGCCCCGCCCCAAGGCTCCGCCCCCAGCATCGCCTCTTGACGAGTGCAGAGGGCCGATCTTGAGCCCAGAAAGAATCATGGCACACGCTGTCAGGGTTTCAACCAGGCATTTTATTGATCTGGCAACCGCAGAACAACGTCTCCGAAAGGCAGCCCCCACCTGAAAGGTGGCCGCTTGTTCCCAGACAACGAATTTGGACCCACATGGAAACACAGAGGCAGCCTCAGACCCATCCGCACCGCTCCCCACCTTCGGCCTCACGTACGTCTTAAATAAATAAATAGCACATCTGCTATCAAAGTAATATAAAAATAAATTTCAAGTTTTACAAATGCAAACGTCCTTGGTGCAGTTCAAACAGTTGTTCCTCCCCCCAAAGGGGAGGTTGGTGGTGGTCAGTGAGGAGGGCAAACACAGCGAGACTCTGACCGGGAGGCCAGAGGCTGTTGCAGGCCCCGCAGTCCCGAGGGAGAGGTCAGTAGTCAGTGGCCACAGCCACGCACCCCATCAAGTTCTGGCTAGGGAAGGGTCCCCGCCCTAGGGCCTCTCACTTATGCTGCAGTTACCCAGGCCTCACCAAACCAAGGGGCCGTGCTGAGCCCATAAGCATCAGAAGGGGGTAGGGGGCAAGGAGGAGCAGGGCTGCAGCCCTAGGCCACTGTGGGACGGCCAGCTGACCACGCAGGGCTCACACACCCAGACACATACCAAACCACAGTGCTCGGACACACGTGTACACACGTGTGCACACGGACACTTATGTTCACACATGTGTATGCAGACACGCATGTGAACATGAACACTTCTGCTCATACGTGTGCACACAGGCACACTCATACATGTGCACATGAACATTTACGCTCACACGTGTGTATGCAAACACACACTTGTGCACATGAACAATCACGTGTGTACTTGTGATTGCACTCACACCTTTGCTTAAATGCTCAGGAATGTGCATTCTGGCACATATACAATCATACATGTCCTCATACATGTGTGCAGACATGCATTTGCACTGACCTATGCGCTCATACCAACACATTCACTGACATGTGTGCTCCCACTAATACGTGCATGCACCCATACGAGTGCACACATGGATACACACTGACACACATGTGCATGAGAGATGAGACTCCAGAGGGACAGAGAGGGGCGACCATAGCTGTGGGCACAGGAAGGACACTGTTGGCTGCCCCTCAGTGGGAGAGGGTGGGATGGGCTAAGGGTCGGCTGGATGTTGCAAACGGGCTATGTCTAGAGCGTCCCTCCCTTCTGCTGACCCCACTGAGAGGACAGCGCTCTAACGGCAACTCCCCCCCCACCAGAGCTCGGCTCTTGTCTGCCCTGGTAATGCAGCAAACGGCGAGGGAGAGCGTGGCTGGGGAAACCCCAAACTGGTTGCTCATTCCAGCTGCTGAGTCCCAGGACAGGCCTGAGTCCAGAGCAGGACTACAGGGATGCAGAACCACAGGCCACACGATGAAGGCAGGGCCCCCAGGCCCCCGCCCTGCAGGAGGCAGAGAGCCATGAGGGCTGAGGCAACACAGACTTTAGAAGCAGGAGCCCGGCCTGCCCCTCAGATGGGCCCCGACACTGGGCCACTGTCTCGGCCCTGCACACGGTTCATCACAGGCACGCCCCTTGCAGCTACACTTACTACCCTAAGAATGTGCAAAAGCAACCACCGAGTGCCGAGGGCCGGGCACGGTGGAGACAACAGACAGTCCTTGACGATGTCGGCGCTGGGCTGTGCCCTGGGCAGATGCGGAGACACCAGCCCTCTGCCCCCCGAGCTGCTCCTGGTGTCCAGCGCGGACACCCAGAGCCAGCCTCCTACACGTGGCACTCCGTCGACACTCTGTCGCAGACTCCTCCGCTGCCAGAGCCCCCCCTTCATGGGGGGGCAGGAGGCTGCCCACTCCAGGAGCCCCGAGGGCGCTGCAGGTGCTGTCCCGGGTACAGGTGGCACCGCTGCTGTGGGCAGGGTTCTCGTGGGCCGCAGGGTGGTCTTCTAAGCAGCCCTCAGCTCAGGAGCAAGGGTGGGCGTGGGGCGGAGGGGCTGTAGCGAAGCTGCAGAGACGGGCCGGGCCGGGCGGTGGCCGCTCAGCGGGGCCAGGAAGGGCCACTGCTCTGGACGTCCTGCAGGTTCTGTTTCCGGGAAAGCGAGGCAGTGGTTAGTTCCTGTGAGGAGGCTTCTGAGGCCAACACCAAGCCATGCACCCGCACTCCCACACCCCACACTGGCGCCCCCAAACAGAGAATGCGACAGGAAGGAGCTCGGGGAAGAGGGTGGGCGTCTCCCTGGGGCCCCTATTCTGCCAGCAGGACCCGGGCAAGACCTGATACAGGAGAGCTTCCTGGCACCCCCAGCTCTCTCCCAGGCAGGAGCAGAGCCTGGACCCAGGCGCCGGCAGCTGGAGCACAGGGCATTCGGCGTGGCCACTCTGCCCACTTCTAACCAACCCACCCCAGCCTCCAGTGGTGGACGACATCAACGCCTCAGAACATTTCCGGGTGTGACTGCCGCCTCCTGCCCTGAGCCCTAAGCCCTGAATCTGAGTGTGTGGCCAGCAGGGCTGCACTGGACGCGCATTCCGCCCCCCCCAACCCCGGGCCAGTTGGCGCAGACCAGAGCCCACATGGGAGAGGCCACAGCCAGGGTGGCCGACCAGCCCTCCCAGCCACGATGCCCGCCACGTGGGGCCTCCCGGGGCCCCACATCCAGAAGCCCAGCCCCGTGTGGGGTGGGAAGGAGATGCTTTGAGCCACCTAGACAGACAGTCAGCCCCATGGACAGACGGACGAACGTGGCAACGAGGATGCCAGAACAGCACAGAGGGGTCTGGGGGGCGCTCAGGAGAGGAGCTGGAGCGACCTGGCTGTGAGGGGCGTCGGTGTCACGCCCACAAGCAGGTCACACGCAGACAGGACACCAGCACAGTGGCCCGTGGCGCAGGGCGGCCGGCATGCACCGAGCATTTACCTGTCCCTCTCAGTAAGGAGAGAACTTTGAGAAAAAGTGACAGACAGTTCGCCTTGCGAGCAGGGCGGGGGGAGGCAGAAGCAGATGGAAAAGAAAAACAGAACAGCTTTAGTGCTTTCACAGTGCATGGGACGCGAGACTTGAGGTGCAGGAACTGTCCCAGGGAGGACTGGGCCCAGGGAGGACTGTCCCCACAGGGAGGACTGTATCCATAGGGAGGACTGTGTCCCAGGGAGGACTGTGTCCATAGGGGAGGACTGTGTTGCTGGGAAGGGCTATGTCTCTAGGGAGGACTATGTCCATAGGGAGGACTGTCCATAGGGAGGACTGAACACAGACTTGCAGGCCTTCTCCCTAGGAAATGGCAACCCACTGGCATCCATGAGAGCTCGACTCCTCCTCCCCAGTGTCATGTCCCCAGGGAAGTGCAGGAGATGGATAGGGGGCAGGGCCGGCCCCGAGGCCCACAGGGCAGCAAGGGTGGCCCTCTCCCATGTGCTCGGCCCCCTGGAGACCCGGCAGAGACTGGGGACCTGCTGTGTTTGGGCCCCCAGAGCAGGGGATAGGCAGGATCAGCCCAGCTGGAGAAGGGGACCCGGGCTGACAAGCACTGCTGACCCATCCCTGAGCGGTGTCCTGGGGTATCCCTAGGACAGGAGGGACAGGCTAAAGGACCATACTCGGGGAGCAACTCTCTCAGACACGTCCCTCAGAGTGGAAGAGTGTGGGGCGGGGGACGGCTGAGGCCCAGTGGCCCCTCAGAAGGGACCAGCAGCAAAGGGGAGACTGACAGAGTTGGGGGGGGGACGGCACCAAGGTCAGTGGCAGTGGGCACGCGCCCAGCGGACCACCAACTATTGTTGGCAGGGGAGGCCACGGGCCCCACAGTCCTGAGCCCCCTGAGATAGCCCCCACCCTCCTCCCCCTCAACACGGCAGGAGCCCAGGCCACGGGTGGGGAAGGGCGCCAGGTACTTACAGGCAGGCCTTCCCTAGCAAGGGCTGCAGAGAGAAGCGAGAGACAGTGAGCGAAGCCACGGGCGGCACAGGGCGTGCCCCGCCCTCCCGGCCTCACACGCCTCTGCCCGCACACGCCAGAGCTTGCTGCTCCCTCCCGCACTCGGGCTCCAGGGGTGCTCCCCGCCTTACCAGACGGAACCCGACTGTCGACTGTCATGTGGTGAAAGACAGAGGAACGAGTCGGAGGCCACGGGGTGACCCTACATAGCCTGAACTTGGCCCCCTCACACAGGGGACGGGGGGTGACATCCAGTCTCACCCCAACATCCCTCCACTGCCTTCTGCAGGGCTGCCAGTCCCCAAGCCATAGACGGATGCGGAGATGGACAGGGCGGCAGAGTGGTCCGAGGCTCCACGCCCCTCGCTGTGCCCCATACACAGGGTTCCCAGGGCAACGCCCAGACATTCTGTGCCCGCCTGTGCCCAGGCTTGGCTGCCTTCGTGGGAAAGCAAGTTCTGAACACAGATGCCAGGCCCAGGGGCCTATAGCTGCTCTACTCACGTCAGAGCAAGCAGAGAAGGAATCCCGAGAGGAGCCCTGAGGAGCCCTGAGGAGCCTTGAGGGGAGCCCTTAGGGGAGCTCTTGGGGGACAGGGCAGCAGAGTAGTGAGGGGAGTCCTGAGAGGATCCTTGGGGGGAGTCCTGAGGGAGCTCTTAGGGAGCACTGAGTGGAGTCCTGAGGGAAGCCCTGAGGGGAGTCCTGAGGGGAGTCCTGAGGCTTGCGCCCTTAGGGGAGTCCTGACAGGAATCCTAAGGGGATCCCTTAGGGGAGCACTGAGTGGAGTCCTGAGGGGAGTCTTGAGGGAAACCCTGAGGGGAGTGCACCCATCTGCTGCAGAAGAACCAGAGAAAACAGCTACTTCCACCTGGGTCTGAATGGCCAACAGTCCTAACCTGAACATCAGAGTCAGTGGCACAAGAAGAGACCAAGGAAGCATCAGCATGCAGCTGGAACCAAGAAGATGACCTTGGGCCACACAGGCACCACAACCATAGCTGAATGGAACCTTCCAGAAAGGTCTAGAAGCATGCCCTAAACTGTTTCGGAGAGCCTGCACTAGAAGGTGGCTGACCAGGCTCTGCTCTCTCTGCCCCCCGCCCCCAGGGCCACAGGGGCACCCTGGGCCAGGAAGACCCTCCAGGGGATGCCGGCTCCACTGCTGCCCACCCGAGAGAACCGCAGAGGGAGGAAGGGTGAGCATGGGGTGAGCGCGGGGTGAACGCACGTGGCCAGGCAGCTGCGTGGGCGCCTCCGGGGACAGGCAGGCAGGCAGGGCAGCCGAGGCAGAAGCCGCAGGCTCCCCCATGCTGTCGATGCGAGGCTTTTTGGTGGGCTCGGGGCTGGCTAGCGGGGTGACACTATTGCGCCTCATCAGTGGGTTAGGCCCCTTCTTTGCATCCTAAGCCAGACAAAGACAAAAGAGAGAAGGCGACAGTTACAGGGAGAGGGTGCAAATAAGCCACAACACAGACAAGAGAACCCAGCAGGGCGCCCCCCGATTTCCTGCTGCCTCAGACACTACCCAGGCCTGGACCACAGTGCCCCTCTGCTCCGCTGACCTGCAGCCCATGGGACCAAGAGGGTGTGTGTGCAGGGAGCAGGACAAGGAGAGGAGGCTGGGAATTAAAGAGAAGGGAGGGAGGAGAGTGGGAGAGAGGCGGGCAGAGAGGGGGCCCTGGAGGAGGGACGCTGCATTGAGCACCCTGAGGACAGCAGAGTGGGACGAGCTGGCTCTGCAGAGCTGCCACAATGGTCCACAGGCCCCAGGCCCAGCTGGGGTCTGTGGTCCCCTGAGGTCCCCACAGACTCTGCCCCAGTCCTGGGCAGGAGACCAGGAGCCTGCCTGCTCCCCTCCCCATCCCCCACCAGCTGGTCAGCTGGAAGATGCTGAGCTTTTGAAGCAGAAATCGTGGGCCCAGCTGCTGCCTTGGGAGTGTGAGGGGAGAATGTCTTCAGCCCTCTGCTCCCCAGAAGACACAGCCCCTGCCTGCTCCATCAGACCTGCTGGGCCACTGTGTCCCTGAGCACAGACAGAGGGGCCTGGGGGGCTCTACGTTCCAACATCACGCAGGTCACTCAGGGACAGATGGGAACCCAGGAAGGGCTTCCAGGTGCATGCAGCTCGTGCCCAATGTGGGAGTTGTGGCCAGACATGGGGGGCCCTAGGGCCGGGTCAGGTCAGCAGCGTAAAGAGGAAGGCAGGGGCACTTGGGCAGCAGGAAGCAGCAGCAGGAGGCAGAGCCTGGGAGGCAGGGCCAGCCCTCCTCAAGGCCGGCAAGAGGGTGAAGCCAGGCCCACACAGCAGCTCTGTGGAGACCCTAAGTGGGGCCCTGCACTCACCTCAGGCCTGTCCCTGTGGGTGCTCACCGACCCCACATTCAGGTAGACGGACTCGACACGGCAGCCTGGCCAGGTGGAAGTGACAAAGGGGTCGGTCACTAGGGCCCCCCAACCCCCAGTCACCGTTCCCTGGATGCAGTTCCAGACCCCCACTCACCATAGGCAACGGGGGTCAGTTTGAGGACAGTGTGAAGGGGACACTTCAGGAAAGGCATCTCCTCTGTGAGGGGGGACATGGTCAGGGTCTGGGTGGGCTCCAGGGATCCCAGCTGCAGAGGGAGCCCAGTACCTACCCAGACTCAGAGGCTGTCTCTACTCCAGCCTCACAGTCACCTGCCCTCAGCCCCAGTCACCCGCCCTCATCCACAGTCACCTGTCCTCAACCCCCTAGACACCTGCCCTTAACCCCACAGTCACCCATCCTGACCCCCACAGTCACCCGTCCTCACCCCCAGTCACCTGTCCTCACCCCCTTGGTCATCTGCCTTCACCCCTACGGTCACCCACCCTCACCCTAGTCACCTGCCTTCATCCCCACAGTCACCCACCCTCACCCCCACAGTCACCTGGCCCCCCACGTCACCCCTCCAGGCACCTGCACTCTTGTCCAAGAAGTAGGCCAGGAGGCAGCGCAGCACGGCCTGGTGGCAGATGACCAGCACATTCTCCCGCCGCTCGAGCTCCATGATGACGGGTTCCAGCCGCTGCACCAGGTCCTGGTAGGACTGCAGACAGCAGGACACAGACAGAGGGACAGAGCTTGAAGACCACCGTGGCCACATGGGTCCTGTCACCAAGACTCCAGGAACATGCCACCCACCCACCCACATGCCACCAGCTCCAGCTCTGGGTTCCCCCCAGCCCCGCAGCACCAGTCAGAGGGAGGAGGAGCCGGGGCTGGAGCACCAGTCAGAGGGAGGAGGAACCTGGGCTCCTATGCTGGGCCAATGTCTCCCTCAGCCGAATCCAAGCCCCCAGAGCCTCCCTCACCCGCTCACACGGGGACTCTGGCCTGGCCGAGGCGACCGGCCACTCCAAGTGTCCGGGTCCTTGTCTGACAGGACACTGGCAGCTCCATACAGCTGGCCCCAAGGGTTACATCCCTCTTCCCCTTCCGCCTGGGGCTAGGGGTCGGGGGACCCTGGGCAGGGGAGAGCTGGGCCTCTCGGGAGTGATAGAGCCTCTGAGCCTGTTGGAGTCACCTGTGATAGCGGAGCACGGCGGGCCCCTGCGAGGGCTGCCCTGAACTGTGAGTTCCACCTCAAAGAAGGGGAAGGCCCTGACCACCTGGGTCCCCCAATATCCCAGCCCCCCACCCCTCCTACTCGGACCGGGCACAGGGGACAGGGCAGGGAGTTGGCTGAGGGGACTGAGCTATGGCCACCAGAGGCAGAGGGCATCCCCCGCCCAGAGCTCTGGGCGGACTGTCCCGGCGTCTTCGGCGCGCAGCACCTGGGGAGCTCACGCACCTCGCCCGTCGGGTAGCGGTAGTAGTACTTGTCCTGCTCCCGCAGCGCGTACTCCTCAGGGTACGTGGCCTGGATCTCCTCATAGGTCATCTCCTCGCAGACGCCCTGTGGGAGCACCGGACTCCCTCAGCTACCTCCTGAGTCCACACGGTCGGGCCACCCAGCCCAGATCACTCAGGCACCCACATCTCCTGGGCCTGCCCGCCAGGTCCACGCACCCACCCACCCGCTCACCGCGTCGATCTCGTTGAGCGCCTTCCACTGCTCATAGGGCAGCTGCAGGGCCTCCGCCGTCTGGATGGTGCTCTTCAGCTGGCTCGTCCACACCTTCAGATCCTTCAAGTTCTGCTCCTCCACAAATTTGCTCAGTGCGCCAGCAAACTGGGAGGGCAGAGGCACAGGTGAGGCCAGCCCTGCTCCCCAGAAACAGCTTCGCTCCACATCTGAGGGGCCCCAACCCTGGGGCCACTGAATGGAAGGGCCCGGGAGCGACCAGGTGGGTCCTGTACACACACCCTCTCTCGAAGCTGGAAAGTCTCCTCTTACTCCCAGACACATGCACTACACACGGAGGGGCAAAGACACACATGTAACAGACATGGACATCCACACATGGGACAGACATAGAGACATCCAGACATACACACAGAGACACACATACATACTCCATGCTGTGAGTAATAGGCACGGAGACAAACAGATGCATCCACATAATAGACACAGAGACATATATCTCTATGTTATCTAGAGACATATATCTCTGTTATATCTCTATGTTATATATCTCTATGTTATAGAGATACGCAGACACACATGTAATAGATATGGAGACATATAGACACGTAATAAAAGGCCCTCCCGTTGATCGTCGATTTGCTCGAGCGGGCCCAGTAACGTCTCCATTGGAGACTTTGTTGTTACTGTGTCTGGCATATCGAATACTCTCGGTAGCTTGCCAGGCTATCCGAGAGGGGCGGAGGAATCGAACTCGGGTTGGCCATGTTGGCCGCTTGTAAGGCGAACGCCCTACCCGCTGTGCTATCGCTCCAGCCCACGTAATAGATACATACAGATACACACGTTCATGAACACTCACAGATACATACACACACACACACACACACACACACACACACACACACACACACACCTACCTTGCGGCCCCTGCTGGATAGGCCCGAGTCTCCCCCAATCTTGCCCTGGAGGTTGTGCTCACTCTCGCCGTGCCGGCACAGGTAGATGGTACGGGGCTGCACGTGGATGTTCATCAGGTAGTACACAATGCGGCTCTGGATATGATCCTGGACCCGGTTCACCAGGAACCGCCGGCCGACATCAATCACCTTGATGAAGGATAGTTCCCTACAGGGCAAGGCCACAGACCCCTCAGAACCCACCAGATACCCCTCAGAACCATCAGATCTTTCCTCAGATCCTCCTTAGAACCCACCAGATTTCCCTCAGAGTCCCCATCAGATATTTCTTCAGATTTCCTCAGAACCCACAAGATTCCCCTCGGATTCTCCTCGGAATCCCCATCAGATCTTTCCTTAGATCCTCCTCCCTCTCCAAGCCCCCAACAGATCTCTCCTCAGATCCTCCTGAGAACCCACCAGATTTCCCTCAGAATCCCCATCAGATATTTCTTCAGATTTCCTCAGAACCCACAAGATTCCCCTTGGATTCTCCTCGGAATCCCCATCAGATCTTTCCTTAGACCCTCCCCCCTCTCCAAGCCCCCAACAGATCTCTCCTCAGATCCTCCTCAGAACCCACCAGATTCCCTTCAAAGTCCCCATCAGATCTCTCCTCAGGTCCTTTCATGTTTCCTTTAGATCCCTTCAAGCCTTTCATTCAATTCCCTATCAGATTTCCCCCTAAAATCTTCCTCAGAGCCTCCATGAGATTCCCAACAACACCCCCATTATAGCCCCCCAATCAGGATCCCCTCAGAAGCCCATCAGCTCCTCCTCAGATCCCCCATCAGAACCTCACCAGATCTCATTAAAACCTCCAATCAGAACCCCACAAGAACCCACACCTGGACCCCTCACATCGCGCCTCAGATCCTGTCAGATCTCGGACCCGCCACCGAAAGCACACAGCAGGGCAGTGCCAGGTGTCTATACCCAGGAGATCTGGGGAACAGGAGCCTGTGGCAGCTCCTGCCCCGCCAGGGTGGGGCCCCAAGGACTGGCCTCCCACCACAGGACAGAAGCCACACGGGGCCTTCTCTTCACTGCCTTGCTTATACACCATCCTTGTCCAGAAAGTTCCCACTGAGACACAATCCAGGATCAGGTTTCATTTTGCGGGTGGGGTGAGGGACACACCCGCTCGGTATACTCCTGGCTCTGTGCTCAGGAATTACCCTGCCCTATTCAGGGAACCATATGGGATGCTGAGGATCAAACCCGGGCTGGCCGCATGCCAGGCAAATGCCCTCCCTGCCGTACTACGCCTTGAACCCGGGACAGAGCAGGAAGGGGGAGCCAGTGGCAGCCGCAGCATCACCTGTCATGCTTGTCAGGGTCCAGGGGCTGGTAGCTGGCCTCGTAGCAGCTGATCCTCTTCATGAAGTCATCCATGGCCTCTGCTGAGTTGCAGTCCCGGTAATCGGGGCTGGACAGCTTCACTTCCTGTGAGCCAGAGGCAGCGGTGAGTCACAGTCCTTCCGTGTCCCAGCACAGGGTTGGGAGAAAGCACGGCATTTCAAAGAAAGCAAAACCCCGGGGAAGGGAGGGCTGAGTCACGGGCTGCAGGCTCCTCAGAGAGGACACCCCTCAACCCAGAGAACGGGGGCCCAGAAGGACAAAGACAGGAAAGGCCTGCGAGTCCAAAACTGCCGCAGCGTCTACACCCACAGGCCAGGTCTGGGTCCCCGCCCTCCAGGGCGGCAAGGTCCTTCCCCGGGTCTGACGGGCTCTGGCCCTCTGTCAGGATCACCTGCCGCTCTTCTAACTCAGCAGAAGCGTTCAGAGCATTGAGGTCTTTGGACACTTACAGCTATGTCTGGGATCGAACCCAGGGCCTCACACATGCAAGGCAAGCGCTGTGCCACAGAGCCACCAGGGTCCCACACTCTGCCATCTGGGCAAGATGCAGCCCCTCCTTGGAACTCCAGGTTCTGGTGTGTTGGTATCTGAGGGGCAGACTTGGGGGCCATGGGGGTCAGCTAATCTCGAGACGGCGGGAACGGTTCCCATGAAGCGGGGCGGTGGAGGCGAAAGCCTTTGTGTTTGATCTTTCCTACACTAGCTGAGCAGCTCACAAAGCTCCGGATGACGGGCCTGCTGGGCAGAGCTGCTCCCGGCCTGGGGCCAGGGCTGGCCACAGAGCAGCAAAGGAACAAATCTCACACCACACCAAGAAAATGTTTTCTGTGCTCACTGGGCTTCCCCACCCTGCAGGACAAAGAAAGTGGCCCCCAGAGTGTGAGCTGAGTCCCTGCTTACACTCACTGCTTCCGCTTCCTTCCTTTGAGTCTCTTCCCTGCCACAGCCCCAGGAACCTGGCCCGAGGCCTGCCTTCCTATAAGAGGCGGCGTTTCCCAGAAATGCAGAGAGCTTGGGACACTGAAGACACTCGTGCCGCGCCAGAGCCAGTGATGAGTGCGGGGCCTGGGGAGGTGCCCCTTCCCTCAGGCTGTGCTCCCCCCTGTCACTAGACAGAAGATCAGTGACACAATCAGTATCTAATACCTGGACGTGATGAAGCATTGGAACCAAACAGGCTAGGAGCCATCTCTGATTATGGCAGCCTCCATGCTGGTGAGCCCCCGCAAGCCTCTTGAGGTCTGTCCCCACACAGCCGCTTCCAACCGCCAGGAACCCCCGCCCCTTTCCCCTCTGGGGCAGCTGCCCTTTGACCTGGCTGCCCCCTCACCACCAGCAGCCCAGAATTCCGCCCAGGTCTGGGTCCCACCCGCTTCCCGCCAGCCTAAGAAGGACACCCTCCGCCACTGGGCCTTTCTAGGGTCCCCCTTCCTCAGCACCCGCCCCCAGGAGTCCCCACAGGTTCTCACCATGATGTTGGAGGCCACTACGGTGGGGTCATCACACACAGACTCGATGAAGAACACCTGGTGGGGGTGGAAGGCCAAAACAAGTGGTTGCCCAGGGTGTGCGCCCCTGGGCCAGGCACCAGCCCACGCCCCCAAGTGCAGAAGCCCCAGGCTCATCCCAAGCCTCTGCACCCTGAATCTGTACCCTCCCTAGACGGTACCCAAAGGTCCCCGCAGGAGAGCCCATGTCTCGGGGGGCAGGAAGAAGGGCCCTGTGGAGACGCCAAGATGGGGGTCTGTACCTGCAGGGGTCACCTGCTCCTGCCTGCTCCTGCCCTCTCCTGCCCATTCCTGCCCACTCCTGTCCACTCTTGTCCATTCCAGACCCCAGCAGGGCTTCAGCTCACCTTGAAATCATTTTCTTTGGCAAAGTGAAGGATCATTTGTCGCCTGTCCCTGGTCGTGTTGGTGGCATCAAACACCTGGTCAGGAGGAGAAGGACAGGCCGTGAAGTCCGCGGGTGGCTGATTCGCCCTGTCCCCAGGTCCCTGGGCACTGTTGGGGGTATTGGGGGCGGCCGGGCATAACCCCCCAAGCAAACAATGCAGCACCGATGAGCCACAGGCCCTGAGTGGCCCCAGGTGTAGCCGAGAGGTGCCTCTGAGAGGGCAGCGTCTCCCACAGCCCTGCCGAGTCCAGCTCAGCACGGACCACGGTGTCCCCCTCAGTCACAGTTCCCACGGCCCGGACTCACTGCAATCTGGCCCCCCTCCTGCGTCAGGTAGGTCCTCACATCTCTCAGCGCGGCGAGAGCACACTGCCTGCAGCGCAGAGAGGCATATCAGAGGGCACCCTGTGCCTGCCCCACGGGTCCTCCCACACCCTGTGCCCGACCACACCCACGGGCCCTCCTGCTGTGTGTGCCTGCATCCACAGGCTCTCCTGCACCCTGTGTCTGCCCCCATGGGTCCTCCCACATCCTGTGCCTTCACCCACGGGCCCTCCTGCACCCTGGGTCTGCACCCACAGGCCCTCCCGCACCCTGGGCCTGCACCCATGGGCCCTTCCGCACCCTGTACCCACACCCACGGACCCTCCCACACCCTGGGCCCTCACCCACGGGTCCTCCCACAATCTATGCCCACCCTCACCCACGGGCCCTCTTGCTGTGTGTGCCCGCATCCTCGAACTCTCTCCTACCCTGTGCCCGCCCCCATGGGCCCTCCCGCACCCTGGGCCCGCACCCACTGGCCCTCCCACCCCCATGGGCCCTCCCGCACCCTGTGCCCTCACCCATGGGTCCTCCTGCACCCTGTACCCCCACCCACAGGCCCTCCTGCTCACCCTGCATGAGAATCCCAGACACATTCCAAGACTCAGAGAGTTCAGAGCAGGGCCTGGGGAGGGGGGGTGAGCCCCCCAGGACCCTAAAGCCTAGCCCAGGACCCTACACTTACTTCTGGGACTCAGGGTCACCCCATTCCTACATGATCTCATTGAGATGTGGGGACAGGCTGTGTCTCCCCACCCAGTCTCCCGCCCTACAGCTCTGGCTACAGAAAGCAACCAGCCCTGCCCCCACCATGCCCCCGCCATGCCCCCGCCTATGCCCCTGCCTGCACCCTGCCCGTGCCCCACCCGCGCCGGCCTCACTTGCGCACTCTCATGGCCTCCTCGTTGTCAGGCCGGAAGAAGTCGTAGGAGCTGAAGTGTCTAACAGCCTCACGGCGGTACTCGCCCACGTTGAACACTGGGGAGTGATACAGACCCTCAGGGCCGCCCGCTCACACCCGGGACAGGTCAGACCCACACACAGGCACAGCCTAGCCACCACCCAGGGCAGCCCACCAGCCTGAGAACAGGCCGCACGTGCCGTGATTGCAGCCCACCGTGTCCAGGAGGGAGAGGGACCCCCACACACGCCGGGCCCCAAGCCACACTCATGGGGGACAGGGCCCAGGTATGTGCAGTGAGCCCTGGAGACACGGCTGGACAGACCAGGCTACTGGACAGACCAGGCCACAGAGCCTGGGGCCACAGGACTCTTAAGGGGAAAGAGAGGGTGAGACCCCCATGGGCCAGGACGTCTGCGACGGAGTCAGGTCCAGCACAGGGACCCCTGCACTGCAGGGCTGGTAAAGGTCGAGTTTTAATTTTCATACCCTGGGACCAGAGATATATAAGGGGGAAATGCTTCCACTGCACATGGCCACCCCAGGTTCGACCCGAGCACCACAAGAAGTGATCCCTGAGCACAGAGCCAGGAGTCAGCCCCAAGCACTGCTGGGTCGGGCCCCCAAACCAAAAAGAACCCGTGCCTGTGAACGCGCTGACATGGGCGTGTGCCACCAGCGGCGTAACCAAAACGAGCCAGAGCAGAAGCAGGCACGCGGTCAAGAGGAGGAAGAGAGAGACGGGCAGGGAGGTGAGGGTGGGCGCAGCCAGCCTACCTTTCGTGGGGACCCCGATCCAGTTGAGGTAGCGTGTGAGCTTCTTGGAGATGTAGGTCTTGCCGCGTGCTGGGAGGCCCACCATGACGATGACCGTAGGCGAGTTGGTCAGCTTGGGCCCGCAGGCTGCCGGGACAGAGGGGTGGGGGTCAGGGGGTCTCCAGAATTCTACAGAACGCCCAGGGCCCCCACCAGAGCCTCCCGCAGAGCAGGACCTGGGTTCAAGCCCAGTGGGACTGCGCCAGGCATGGAAGGGAGTTCCCGAGGCTGGAAGGGCCCAGTTAAAGGGAGACAGAGTGGCCTGGGACCCCCAGCCACAACACAGAGGCCAAGCACTGCTCCCCAAGTTCCTTCCTGAAAGCAGGTCAGGACGTTCGCCTGGATAAGACCAGCTCAGTCCAGGAGTAAATGCGGCTCCTGTGGGGTGACGGGCACAAGCACCCATCCCTGGGGGAGCCTGCCTCTGTATGCCTACTGTCCAGCTGGACAGAGGCCCGGATGACAGGGGTCCCCGGTTAGGGCATAGACCCAGGGAAGCGTCCAAGAAGACACACAGAGTCTGTCCTAGTGGTTCCAGAGTGTTCTAGCCTGGGAGCCTGAGTGACTGTGGGCCATGAGACACCGGCCACCTGGTTGCTCCAGGCAGCTGGCCATCTGGGGGTGGGGGGCGGTTCCGGCCAGCGCAGGCCAAGGCCACAGCAAGTGTCTCTGCAGACGGGCACCAGTCACCAAGCATAGAGTGGCGCAGCTGCCACACAGCCCACTGGGTCTCAAGAGCAAGGCCTGGGGCCAGATTCTAGAGCCAGGGATGATCACACCATGGACAGGGTAAGTTTTGGGGTTCTGAGCAGACGGCATGGTCACGGAGTTCCAGGGGCAAGTGTGGGAGGGGACTGTGTCCTCAAGAACCAGCCAAGCCCAGGGACACAGGAGTTCAGCCACTGGAGCGGGCTGGGGACACTCGACAGCACCGACCACTGAGGTTTTCCTATTGTCTGGTGAGCCCATGGGGCCACTGACCAGAGCAAACATGCACGCTCACGCGGCGTCTGCATGTCTGTCTGCGCGACCATCTCTCCAGCTGCTCCCACTCGGCCACTTTGTCCAGCCCCACACCAGACAGGGGCTGGAAAATGGGTCATCTGGGGGGCAGGTCCACTCCTCCTGCAGCCTACACCAGGGCGAGGCCCAATAGCCCAGTGCCCCTTCCCTGGCAGAGGAAGTCGCTTTCCCCAAAACTGCTGACTTGGGAGCGAGCCGGCGGCCGTCCCCACTTAGCACTTGGCAGGCAGCTGGGCAGGAGGGGGCAGGGCACGCGGCACCCAGACACAGGGCACTGTGGGGAGACGCAGGGACGTTCCAGAATGCCCCCTTTCTCACCGGGTGGCACCAGCCAAAACCGCCCCTCCTACTGCTCTGCCAGCCCAGCTCTGCCTCAGTTTCCCCTCAAGCCCCTGCCCAGTTTCCTCCCCTCCCAGCACAGGATTCTGGAGAAGTCCAGGGTTAACACTGGCTGTACTGACCTCTGTCACAGCCACAGCGGGAGACTCAGACCCATGCCAAGCCCAGCCACTGAGCCTGGAACAGGGCCATGGGTGTCCACTACTCCACGGAGAGCAGTGAAAGACCCCTCTGGGCTGCGAGACCAGGCATGTGCTGGGTGCGGGCTAATCCCCAGAGGCGGGTCCCCACACTTGCACAAAAACAGAGCAGGGCGGGCACCCTCCCTGAGTGGAGAGGGTCGAGCCCAGGAGCCATGCAGGTTCTGACCAGGACCCCCAGTACCAAGTCACAGACTCTCCCCGCCTAAGCCGGGTCCACTCCTCACTTGGTGTGGACACCTTCAGTGTTTGGCTATCCAGGGGGCCATGCCCAGCGTGCTGGGCCGGGGTGGGTGGCTAGAGTCAGGGCCGCACACGGCTCATGCATAGACTGTTTTTTCCACACTGCCCCAGACCTGCATGAGGTGAGACAGAGCTGAGATTGGTGCCATGGGCGATTAAGGACCCCCAGCCCCTGCCCAGGCCTGGTTTAAAGTCAGCCAGCACCGGGTGGCCCTTCTCTCCTGGAACTGGGATCCAGAGGAGGTCACGAGCCCTGCATACAGCAGGACTCACCCCAATGAGCACCCCGGCCCTGCACACACACCCACAAAAGCCCAGGAAGTATCTTCCTGTCAGCATCTGATGCCAACCAGAGCCTGAGCGCCAGGCTCAGTGTGGTGAGCAAGGGACATGGCACAGGAGGAACGCCTGCTTTCCAGGCACAGGCTCCATCCCTCAGAAGCACCCCCCAAGTCACCCAGTGAGCTCCCCATTCCTGCAGGTGTGACCCCCCAGGAGCACTGACCATGTGAGTAATATCAAGTAGGTGTGACCCCAGGGTCATATCGATTATGTGTGATCCCAGAGTAATATTAAGTATGTGTGACCCCGAGTAATATCGAGTATGTGTGATCCCAGAATAGCATCAAGTATGTGCCCCAGAGTAACATCGAGTATGACCCCAGAGTAGCATCGAGTATGTGTCCCAGAGTAACATCAAGTATGTGTGATCCCAGAGTATTATCAAGTATGTGTGACCCCAAGTAACATCGAGTATGTGTGATTCCAGAGTAGCATCAAGTATGTGTCCTAGAGTAACATCGAGTATGATCCCAGAGTATTATCGAGTATGTATGTCCCAGAGTAACATCAAGTACGTGTAACCCCAGAGTAACATCATGTAGGACCCCAGAATAATATCAAGTATGTGTAACCTCAGAGTGGTATCAGGTATGCATGAACCCAGAGTAACATTGAGTACGTGTGTCCCCAGAGTAACTGAGTCTGTGTGACCCCAGCAAAGGGGAGCTGGGTGGGCGGGGAGCAGACAGGAGGAAAAGGGGGCGCCTGCCTCCTCTGGGACCCTGGGGAGGGGAGGGTCTCAGGCTCCCTGGAAGCCCCCTGCTCTGGGGAGAAAACTGGAAGCAAAGCCCAGCCTGAGACATCAGTCACCACCTCACCCCAGGGCGGGTCTTGCATACCGGTGTTTGCATGTAAGGAAGAGACCAGTCAGCAGCCAGCAGCAGCCACAGGGGTTGGGGCGAAAGGTGGTCAATCCCTGACAGCTGATGTCACTGCCCCCACACTGAAGAACCTCAGGACAATGGGCCAGGGCTCCCCAATCCCTTGGGAAGAAGCTGTCTGTCTAGGAGAAACGCCCCCTCCATCAGCGATCCCCACCCGCAGGGCCCCAGGTCCCTGGATATCGAAGGGGACCGAGTGAAGAAAACTGAGTAACAGGGGAGGGCGCACAGCACAGGCATGGGGGCCCAGAGCCACAGCTGGAACAGGGCTGAGAAGCTTTCCCAACCTTTTAATCACCAAGACAGCCGGGGCAGGGGGGGAAAGGGAACCAGAAGAAAGTCTCCTGGCACCAGAGCGGCCAGCGTGACCGTCCAGCGTGACCCGCACCGGCTCCATTGGCGGCACGTGACCAGTCGGGCTACGGAACTAGTCGTCAAAGGTTTTTATAGGCGCCCGAGACAACCCCGGGAGCCACCCGCGGCGGGTCCGGAATGGCCGGGGAGGGTTTTTCGGCAGATCTCTCCTCTGCGTGCGAGACGTGCAGCCCGGGCGCGTGCAATGGACGGAGGAGGGCGCAGGGACGCGATCCGCCCCGGCCTCCACCTGCCCGGGGACACCTGCTGCCAGCAGCGCTAGCGGGGCTGTACCCCCGTCTGGGTCCAGCCCTTAGACTCCCTGGGAAAGTCGGGGAGCGGGAAACTGATCGTCAGCCGCCCCGGAAGCCACAGAGTCATCCTTAACAAAGAGGGGCTGCCCGCCCGGGATTCGGGAGGGGCGAGGCGGGCGCCGAGCGGCCGCTCCAGGGTCGGGCCAATTCCGTGGGGTCACTGTCCCCGCTGCCCAGGAGGGGCGGCTCGGCGGCCGAGCCCAGAAGCCCCAGGGAACGAGCTGTCAAGGCGGCCGAGGGGACTCGCCCGCGGGGCCGCGAGAGTCAGCGCAAGGCCGCACACGCACCCGGCGCTTTGGTACCTCCGGCGCCGCCCTCCTCTCCCCTCAACCCGCGAGGGGCCCCTGGGGGCCGTGTCGCTTCCAGACCACCCAGATTCCCAGTTCGGACTAGCCAGAGCCAAAGATACTGGCCGACGCGACCGGCGGCCCCCGCATCCCCAGCGCGCCGGCTGTGCTCGTGCCCCGACTGCGCCCCCAGCGCACAGCCCGGCCCCCAGCCCGGCCCGTAGCCCCCGCCCGGCGCGACAAGTGGAGCGCGGGGTTGAGAAACGCCCTGGGAGGTCGAAGCAGAGAGGGGCGGACAGGCGGCCGGGAGGGGCTGCCGAACCCGGCGACCCCCAAGAAGCCTGAGCCTCAGCGCCACCCCCCTTCCCCCGCGCGCTCCGGGGCGCCGGCCCTGCTTAGGAGCGGCCGGGCCACAGCGCCCCCGACGCGGGCAGCGGGAGGCGCAGCTCGGGGCGCCCCCGGCCCGCCCCGCCGACACGCACCCGGGGGTAGCCGGGGGTCCCCGCCGCGCTGCACAAAGCCGGGCCGGGCACGCGGCCGCGCCCGCATCCGCACTCACATCTGGGCAGCGAGGGCCGGTGGTCCACCGGGATCCAGATCTTCTGCACCCGGCTCTGGGTTAGTTCCAAGGGCATCTTCGCCAGCTGCGCGAGGCGCCGAGACTTCAGGCGGGGCCGACCCCCCGAAACAAAGCCGGACCAGGGGGCGCGGCCCGACTCGTGCTTGGGGCTGGATGCGGGCGGAGCCGCTGCCTTCGCGGTGGCTGAAGAGCCCCCGGGATGCGCGCGGCGCGGTGACAGCCGAGTCGCTCCCCACCCCTAGCCCGCTCCCACTCTGCCCCGACGCCCGGCGCTGCCCCGGCTTTTAAGAGTGGCCGCGGCGGGCAGCGCGACGTCAGCTCGGGGCGGGGACGCGGGCGCGGGCCGGCCCCCTTGGGCGGGAGGAGCGTGGGGCGCGGGCCCGGCCGCGGGCGCCCCTGCAGGCAGGAGGAGGCGCGCGCCTCTCCGCGCCGGGACCCTTGGAGGCCCGCACCCCCAGATTCCTCGGGCACCGCGCCCCGCCAGGCGCCCCGCTTGAAAAGCGTTGTCCCGGCCCGGCTCCCCGGGCGCGGCGCCCCGATGCCCTTCGCCACACGGGCGCAATCCGACCCGGGAGCCCCGGCTCAGGGTTAAAGGCTGCAGAGGGCACTTGGGGCAGCGAGATGCCTGGTGGAGCGAGGGGGGTCTCGGCTGACTTGGAGGAAGCCAGAAGGACGCTTGGGAGGGGGGGCGTAGGGAAGGTTCTTGGGGTCGCCCCTTGCACAACCTGAGCGCTCCCACCCTGACCTCCACGCACCACCCGGAACCCCGCAGGGTCCTGGACTCCACGTCGTGGGTCTGCTGCTGGGGTGGGGCAGCCCTCTGCGTGCGGAGGGCAGAGGACGACCCCCCCCCCACGCCGGACCCGGTCGAACCCGGTCTCTGGACCTTGGGACCTGCAGCAGACGCAACCCAGGGCGCGTGCGGGGCTGTTCCTGCCCTCGCGCCCCAGGATCCCGGGGGTCGCGGGATCGTTGCTTCTGCCCCGCATCCACGCCACCGCCCGGCTCGGTTTGTCCTTTCGGCCACCCCCACGCCCCCTGCGTCCCGGCGCCCGGGCACGTTGGCATCATGCGGGGGACCAGTCGGGCCGGCGCGCCAGGCGACCACACGTCGCTCACGTCCCTCAGGGCTCCAGTCCGCCCAGACTGACACACCCCCGCCCAGAATGACACGCCCCACCCCGATGGACACGGCCCCGCCCCCACCCAGGCGGACACGCCCCCGCCCCCGCCCAGATGGACACGCTCCGCCCAGGCGGACACGCCCCGGTCAGGCGGACACGCCCAGCCTGCCGCCCGCGCGCTCTGATCTCCCATCTCCAGGCCACCCTCCCGAGGTCAGTACCGCGCCTGAGCATCCAGAGGCCTGCCTGGCCGCGGCGGTTTGGATCCCGAGCCTGACACGAGAAACCTTCCTACCTTTATTTCCTCCCTTCTTTCCTTTCTTTTCTTTCCTTCCTTCTTTCCTTTCTTTTTCCTTCTTTCCTTTCTTTTTCTTCCTCTTTCTTTCTTTCTTTCTTTCTTCCTCTCTTTCTTTCTTTCTTTCTTTCCTTTCCTCTCATTTCTTTTTCTTTCTTTTCTTTCCTTTCTTGCCACACCCAGCATGCTCAGGGCTTACTCCTGGCTCTGACTGGGGGTCACTCCTGGCGGTGCTCAGGGGACCATATGGGCTGCCGGGGATCAAACCCGGGTCTCCTTACGCGCTGTACTATTGCTCTGACCCCAGGAGAACTTGCTTTTTTCTGCAGTGGGATGGGAAGAGGCCGAGGGAGCAAAATCCCAGGGGGAGACACCAGTCCCAGAACCCCAGGGACGGGCTGTCGCCCTAGAAATGGGGCGGGGGGGAGGGTTGCATCCGGATGGTTGTGCTGGCCATACTGGGTGCTAGCGCCTTCCTGAGGGGGTGTCCCCAGGAGCCTGCTGGTTTCCTACATGGCCTGGCCTGCATACAGCCCTGGGGAGCAGCTGTAGGAAGCGGCCAGGTTTTTAAGGGACCCTCATAATGTGTGTGACCCTGTCTGACTCTGGGAGCACTAGTAGCTGCCGGGGTGACCAGCTGGACCTCTGGTGGGCAGCCCTAGCCCTGATTTCTGGGCACGCTCCACTAGAAGGAGGGTGTCCCCCTGCACCTGGCATGGAGGTCTGGGCGGGACCCTGAGCTCAGGTCCCTTCCTCCTGCCCACTGAGCTGACCAGCCGGCCACCCTGACTCGCACTGCCCATGAGCTCCTTCACTGAGACTGTGGCCAAAGTGAGGTGCCACCTCACCCCTAATCCAAGCAGGGGGAAGCCCCAAGATCCAAACTCCCTAGCACTCTATAGGGCACAAGAACTTTCTAGATAACCCAGCCACCGTTTTGTTCTCAGTCACTGGAGGGAAGATGAGCGATGGAGTTGGGATAAGGGCAGGCATGGTGAAGGGTCTGGGTCAAAGGTCAGGGAGCTGGGCCAGCTCAGATGCCCCACACACCCCTCCTTGGCACACGGGCACATCCTCCCCAGGACTGGCCTCAGAGTCACAACACCAAGTGAGCAGATGCGGATGGAGCCACAGGGGAACCTCTGGCCAAGAAGGCCTCCAGCTCAGGGCAGATGGGGACAGGATGGGTAAGCCCCTCACTGCCCCTGCATGGACAGAGGCCCCACTCCCTGAGGGGCCCCATCCTATGCGGTCACTTCGCCAGTTAGAGCAGATCACTGGGGCCAGAGCCGTAGGACAGTGGGAGGGTGTTTGCCTGGCGCAGCCCACCGGCTCCCCCTATGTACCAAGCTCTCCTCTCCCCAGTCCACCGCGTCCGAGTCTGTGGCGAGTGGTTGGTGACCCCACAGTGCAGGGCTTTCCAAAAGCAACTTCCATGCTGCAGAGGGGAGGGAGTCAGGGTTCAGTCCCAAGCACGCATGTGACCCCCGAGCACCCTTGGGAGTGACCCTGAGCATACAGGGTGCCAAGAACTGTGTTCGAGTTCTGATGCTTTCTGACCAAACTGGGGGAGAGTAAGGGAAAGGGCCATGGGACTATGGATATGATTGGGCAACTCTGGTTTCAAAATAAAAAGCTTTTTAAAAACAAAATCTCAGCGAAGGCTCAGTCTGCTCATATTCTGGGGAAAAGCCTGACAGGGCAGAGGTGACACCCCAGGGGAGAGGCAGGAGCACAGGCGCTACGCGACATTCGCCTGCCGAGCAGAACAGAGCTCGGCTATTTCCCGGATCCCAGTGCCACTTGCCTCCAACCAGTCCGGGTGATGGGAGATGACACGGTGTCCCTCACCAATCTGGGCTACAGGAGATGACACGGTGTCCCTCACCAGTCAGGGTGATGGGAGATGACATGGTATACCTCACCAGTACTAGTGATGGGAGATGACATGGTGCTACTCACCAGTATGGGTGATGGGAGATGATGCGGTGTCCCTCATCAGTCTGGGTGATAGGGGATGACATGGTGTCCCTCACCAGTACAGGTGGCAAGAGATGACATGGTGTCCCTCACCAGTCTGGGTGATGGGACATGATATGGTGTCCCTCGCCAGTACAGGTCATGGGAGATGGTATGATGTCACTCACCAGTATGGTTGGCGGGAGATGATGAGGTGTCCCTCACCAGTCTAGGTGATGAGAGATGACATGGTATCCCTCACCAGTACAGGTGATGGGAGATGACACGGTGTCCCTCACCAGTACAGGTGACGGGAGATGACACAGTGTCACTCACCAGTACAGATGACGGGAGATGACATGGTGTCCCTCACCAGTACAGGTAATGGGAGATGACACGGTGTCCCTCACCAGTATGGGTGACAAGAGATGACATGGTGTCACTCACCAGTACGGGTGACAGGAGCACAACACGGTCTCCCATGACCTGGAATGATGACCAGATGCCAAGAGGGCCAGTCCAGGGTGTGTGACGTTGATGCGGAACAGATGGTGTCCCAGGCCCTTACCTGAGAGCCCCAAGAATCCAAGATCTTCTAAAGTAAAATGAGAAAGCAGGGAGTAGTTGGGGAACTCGGAGAGGGTTCCCGCCCCAGCACCTAAAGCAGGAGGACTCCAACATGGAGGGGGCTGTGAGCACCCGTTCACCAGGGCCCACCTGTGCCCTGGCTGCGGGGAGGCCTGTGAGACTGGTCATGGGGCTGAGGTCATGACCCGGAGACCCTGGAAGAGCTGGGGACCTGAATCTGCAGGGGAGAAGGGCTGAGGGGAGAGGGGCTGAGGGGGGAGTGTTTGAGGGGAGAGGGGTTGAGGGGAGAGAGTCTGAGGGGAGAAGGGCTGAGGAGAGAGGGGCTGAGGGGAGAAAGGCTGAGGGGAGAGGAGTTGAGGGGAGAGGGGCTGAGGGGAGAGTGGTTGAGGGAAGAAGAGCTGAGGGGAGAGGCTAAGGGGAGAGAGGCTGAGGGGAGAGAGACTGAGGGGAGAAGGGCTGAGGGGAGAGGGGTTGAGGGGGGAGTGGTTGAGGGGAAAAGGGTTGAGGGGAGAGAGGCTGAGGGGAGAAGGGCTGAGCAGGGAGTGGTTGACAGGAGAAGGGTTGAGGGGAGAGGGGCTGAGGGGAGAGGAGCTGAGGGGAGAGGAGCTGAGGGGAGAAGGGCTGAGGGGAGAAGGGCTGAGGGGAGAGAGGCTGAGGGAGAGGGGAAGAGGGGAGAGGAGCTGAGGGGAGAGGGGATGAGGGGTGAAGGGCTGGGGGGAGAGGGGCTACGGGGAGAGGGGCTGCAGGGACTCCGTGAGCAGGACACTGAATGAGTCTCTTGTTCCAGCTGCTTGGCTCTTGGTTCCCCCACCAACCCCAGCACTTATCCTTGCGAAACTGAAAGAGGAAGATCAGCCAGGAAACTTTATTCTGGAAAATTCCTTGCCAAGGCCAGAAAAGCAGGATTTGGGTGGGGAGGGGGTGCCCACTGCAGTGCGAGGGCTGGCGCCCTGGAGAGCAGAGCCAGGAGGCACCACCACGGTCAGAGAACCACCCTCAGCTCTGGATCAGCCATCCCAGGCCCCAAGTCCTTGAGTCATGGCCGCTGGGGACCCCCTCCTTCCCTCTTCCCTTGAGCCACCCAGGACAGGCCCTGAGGCTTCAA